AAGACTTGGTAGCAGAATGCTTGAGAGGGACCTCATGTTAGGACACCACTTGTGCAAATAAAATAAAATTGGATCATGTGAAGTAGTAGTAATAATTAAACTGAACTGCAGTAAACCTGTGATGAACAAAAGGCACCTTGAAATGCTGTAGCTCTGCTAAAATGTACTTGCTTGCAAAAGCTACTTTGCCAACTTATAAATCAAAGCAGAGTAACTCCTCAAGTTGCAGAAGCATGCACAGCCATTGAAGGTGGGGATCACGTTGTGCTGGGTGCTGAAGGTGAGATTTCCACGTTCCTTTGTGTGGCACAGGGAAGAGGGGAGGTGGTGTGACTTGCAGGGCATCCTCTGCTGTGTGGCATCAGGAGGAAGGAACTTGCAATGAGCTTGAAATTACGGTAAGGTTGTTCCCCTGTGATGAACTCGCCACTCCTCTAGATTATCCTAGCTGTGGGAGACGAAAGCTGATGGCACTGAGATGTATCTGCTATCACCTGCACCTGGAAACCCCTCAGGAGAGGCTTCTGAAGTCGGAAGCAAGGCAAAATGAAGAGCTCTGTTCCGTGGGGCAGCCAGAACACCTCCTGAGGTGGGGAGGTTCGGACCCCCATGCAGAAGATCTCAGTTGAGTTGTCTGGAAGCCAGACCCCAATCTTGTGTAAAGAAGTACAGCGTGAATGAAGTCAGGTTGGGGGCTGCAGGAAGTGTGGTCAAAGGGTTAGAGTTTTGTGCTAAGTTGATGCTGGACAACTCTTGTTTCAGTGGTTCTCCCTCTCTCCATTTGGAAAACATTGCTGTCCAAGTGTGGTTTGCCTGCAGAGAGGACGCTGACTCAGCAGTGCTTTCCTCTTTAGCAAATGGATTTTGCAGTCTCCTGCCTTCATGGGGCTCGCTCTATTCCTGGGGGCCCCAGGCAGGCACGGCGCGGGCTGGCAGGCACGGCGCGGGCTGGCCCACTGGCCTCTCCAGCTGCAGAGGGGACGGGGGAGAGGCAGGCCTGAGAGCATCTTGCAGAGACCACAGCAGAAGAGGAACTGTAAACAGCACAGGCAACCTTGTGTTAACTACTTGCAGAAGAGAGTGCAGCGATGTCCTGTGTCCCCCCCGGTTCCCCAGACTGCTGTAACTCTGCCTCTGAAACCATACTGGCCAAAAATACTTCAGTGTGCCTTTCTAGTGCTTGCAAGCAAACGAAAAGTAAGATGGTCTGTCAAAGCAGGGGAAATTGTTTCAATAAAAGCTAGAATTACTTGTGCTTCTTGAATATATATATATATATTTAATATATGAAGTCTGGGTAGAAGAATGTTTGCTTTTTAAGTGGGCTGCTCTGTGAGAAATTGGGATGAGTTCCTTCATAGAGTTACAAGACAATATAAGTAGTCAACATTAGGATGCTTTACTAATTTAGTATTTAATCCTGTGAACAGTAGCACTTGTAATTCAGTTTATGTGGCATGGTACTGACTCAGAGTTCCTGCAAAAGCAAGCTACTTCTTGAATTGTATAACATTCTGAAATCTCCCTTTCTCTTGCTTGTGAAGCTACAAAGTCTAAAATACATTTGTCTATTTTGTGAAGACCCGTAGATTAAGATATACGTTATAAAGCAACTTTTCATACGACTCACTCCAAAAAAAGCAGGGAGCCTTCTTTGCCATTGCCTTTTGGAAAAGAGTGTGTGAATTGCCCAAGAATAGGCAGTAAGGTATTTCCCCAGGAAAAGTTAGCTTTTTCTTTCATGTTCGTTGTGTTAAGCGTCAGCACTGGGATTTTTCCTTGACTGTATTGCTGGTATATCCACTGCTCAGAGCCTCTCCATGGAGAAGGCTGTTGGTCTGGTGGGAGGGCAGCCTGTGAACCGGTTCCCGCTTTAGCTGAGAATAGATTTCAAACTAAGAAGGAAGATGCCCATTTTGAGTGGGCATTTAAAAGGCTTATGTGGTGTTAATGTGTTTGCTGCTGGTCCTTCCATGCCCGGGTAACAGCTTTTGTAGGACCACAGGGCTTTTCTAAGAAATTACTTGCTTGTCATCAGAACCACAAGGTTCTTCTATAATAAGGTTTTTTTCCTTTTTTTTTTTTTTTTTTTTTTCCCAGGTGTTTCTTGAACTCTTCAGTGCATTAAAGAACTGTTGTGTTTTGGGATATCCTGATTGAATCCTTGGAAGAAAATCTGCCCAAGAGCTGACAATGACTTGAGTTGGAAATCTGCTGCTTTATCCACAGGTAGTACCTTGGTAGTAGCTCAGTGGGTCAAATAGCATAGCTTCCTTTCAGCAGGTTGTTCGTGGAGGGCGTTGTTCATAGTGCCTCTCTAGGGTAGGAGGTGATCTGTCTGCAGATGCTTGTCTCCTGAGGAGCACTGGGACACCTGCTGTGTCCATACCACTCCCCTGTTTGGGACTCATCCTGAAGCAGCCACGTAGGGAAATGAGCAGCTGTCCTCCTGTCTTCTGTGGTCCTGTGTGCCCCTCACAAGGTGTTTGTGCCTTAGTATATGTTTCCTCCACCAGCCCCTTCTGATGCCTAGGTTGAGCTGCCCTTTGGGCAATCCTGCTCTTGAGTTGCCCTCTTTCATAACATGGTGGGAGCTGGAGGTGTCTGCTAATACGAGGTAGCATGGAAGAGAACAGACAGTGCTGTACAACAGGATCTGGCTTTGCTCTCTCCAAGGGTAACACCCCTAGAGTAATGTTTATCAAGTTAATTTATGAACCCAAACATGCCTCAAACCCAACTGTAGAATAATTGGCTCCCAGCAGCTGAGTGAGGCTTCGCCTTGGGAGTGCCCTCAACCACTGCAGGCTTGCAGGAGTTTGCTGTGAAGTCACCAAGTGTGTCAGGACCAGGCTGGTGAAGCTCCTGGTGTTCATGAACTCACAGCTTTTATTTGAACAGTTATATGCCTTATTATGTGCTTCATTAGTATCTGTGCCTATGGTTAGGCAGAAGCACAGTTCTGGAAATGCTAGTAGTGAGATTTGGATGTTGGCTGGCTCGGATGGGCGATGAAGGAAAGCAAAGTGGAGGCTTACCCTGCCACTGGTATGGTACTGGCAGTGTTAAACTTGATTGTTGCTCGTGGAAGAGAATAGAAGGAAGGTTTAGGTGGCAGTGGCCTCAGATCACTGTTACACAGCATGTGATGGCTAACAGCCAGCTTAGGTCTTTCTGTTTGATGTTTGAGGTGATGGACTTTGAAATTAGATCTTTAAACAGCCTGAAATTTTGAAATTGCCTCTATGTTCTCCCTCTCCCTTCCCATTGCCCACGCACTGATGTTTATAACTTTATATATACGCATGCCTGTGCCCTCAGCCCTGACTGAGATGTGTTCCTCTCTCCCAGGACCAGCTTCCTGCCCCGTGTTCAGTGTCCCATGTGGATGCACCGTACACTATGGTTCACATCAATGTGTTGAAAAAATTAATGTGTGTTCTTGTGGTGATCCTGGTAGCACTGACAGTTTGCCTGTGGAGAGAGACGAGAAGAAGCTACTATGTTCTTTTCAAGACCGAGAGCGATGGTTTGCAGGTTCACAGGACTTCAGAAAAATGGACCCCCCTTAAATCACAGAGCCTTTTGCATGAAGCAGCCAGTGAATTGGGTCAGATACCCAAAACATGGTTTGATAACCACAGCAAAGTAAAAGGCAGCACCACTCAAACAGCTGAAAAGTCCAAGAAAGCAGCAGACTCTGTGAAGGTGTGGGATAAGGACAGTTCATCCAGAAATCTCATACCCAGGCTACAGAAGGTCAGAAAAAACTACCTGTCCATGAACAAGTACAACGTGACTTACAGTGGGAAGAGGAACGCTGCTAAACTCAGCCCAGAGAAGCTGCTCTGCCAGCTGCGGGACAGAGTGAACGTGACCATGATACAAGGATTGGATGGTCCCTTTGATACCTCTGAGTGGCAGCAATACCTACCAGGGAAAAGCCTCAATGAAACAGTGGGCCGCCTTGGTCGCTGTGCTGTCGTGTCCTCAGCAGGGTCACTGAAATCATCTCATTTGGGACAAGAGATAGGTTGGTATCTCTCTATTTGCATAAAGTCAAGCAACATTGTTTTATAACTTATGCTAAATAGAAGTAACCCACTGTCATGCTCTTACCAGTAAATCTCTGGTGTGGTCACAAAGGTGTTTAAAATACGTTGGAGTTATTATCCTTAAACTTCTTCTAAAGTTAGTGAGCCTTAGACCTTGGGTGGACCAAAATGGGCAAGCCCCAAGGGAGTGGAAGGGTTGGGTTGAGCTCAGAGGACATGAGGTATGTGAAGGTAGTTCTATTCCAGCTACTTCTTTCAATTTTTATGATTGTGTTGGCATCACTAGAGATGAGCACGAATTCTGGATGCCAGGGAGAGGTGTTGGTTCCTGAAGTGTTTGTTTCTTGAAAGGGTTTAGAGTAGGTTGAGTAATGCCAATGTGCTCATTGCTCAGCCAACAGTCAGAAAATACTTCATTCAGAAAGACTTCATCAGAGAAATAAAAGAAAACACTAAAGGGGAGAAAACCCACTGGACACAGCCCTGAGCAATCTGCTGTAGTTGACTCAGTGTTGAGCAGAGAGTCTGGACACAGACCACCTTTAGAGGTCCCTTCCAGCCTCGGTGATACTGTTAATTCTTGCTCATGGCTTTCCAAAAGTGGCACTGCTTCATTCTGAACCATAAGGTAGTGGCTGAGTTTGAGTGGCCCAGAGACCATGGAAAAACTTCACAGTGCTTTATTTTATCTCTCCTTTAGATAAAATCTGGTGATGCTTTGCAAAGTCTTATCTGACCATATTTATCTGAGGTTAATGCATTAATTAATAAATGCATTAGTCTTGTACGGTGGGTTATAAAGCAGCATGTTTTGATACCAAAGCATCTTGTGTCTTTAAGAAAGCAGCATGCAGGGGAAACTGTTGACTCAGGATTTTGTGCTTGTCATAAAATCTTCCTGTGCCTCAGTTCCCTCAACTTTCTTCATTAGTTCTTGTTTGAGGCTCAGTTAAAATTCACGCTTTGCAGAACTGCAGTTTCACTGCAGGAGAAGTTTTAAAGTCTATGCGTGTTGTCTCTGGTAGAAATTGTTTGCAGGCTTCAGTGTGTTTGTAAGTTGCCTGTTGGATCAGGTCCCTCGTGCCTGCACTAAGCTGGAAGTAGCCTTCATCCTCTGAAACAAGTAGAGAGATACTTGATTCAAGAACCAGCTGGGCAAAGCCTTCAGACTTGTAGTCCCCAGATGCTCGTGTGAAGGTCAGGGTTTTTCTTCTGGTAGTTGCTCAAAAGTTCACCCCCAAGTGGGGGGGCAAGTGCTAGAGTGGAGTTGAACAATCTGAAGTGTGTTAAAATGCTATGAAAGATGTGATGAAAAAGGTAGTGGTGGTAGTATTAACCAGGATAGCATTGCCTCCTGGTAAAAATTACAGGTGTGAGTTGATTAATGTAATTGTTTTTGCCTCTTAAAAATGTTTGAGGACAGGTAGGGCAAGGCTTGGGAAGCCAATTCTGACTTTTTCTTGGAGTACCTATCTTGGCTTATTTAAGTGCTTCTTGAAGTTCAGTAGCGAAAGGTTTCTGCAGAAGTGACCTTCTGTTGAACTCTCCTCTGATGCAGCTGGCTTGTGTCCAAGGGTTCTCTGTTAGTCTGTCACGCTGATAAAGCTGCTTGCTCTTCCGTAAGGAGACCCTCTCCAGAGCTGAGGGTGGTGGTTACGGTGTGTTGTAATGCAGGCTGTGCAAGCGCTCGATTCCGTATCGGAGAAAGCCAGGAAGTGCAAGGGGCTGTGCTCTGGCTGCAGCACAGCGGAGAGGACGTCAGATGTGGAAAGCCATTGCACTGTTCCTACGGCTGGTCTCTGAGCCTTGAGGTGAAGGTCTCTGAGCCTTGAAGGGTCCCTGACGCTGAAGCACCCGTTTGTTCGGAAGGGATGGATGCTGGGAAGGTCACGGCGTAGTGTGCCCGAGGCGAACGTTGTTAATCCTGCCGGTGTCCCTGGCTTGCGTTCCTCATGCCTGGGTTGCAGACTTTAACTTTTCTGCTCAAGCAATCATCTCTGCTAGTGATTCTGCAGAGTTTTGGGCACTTGGAGCCTTGGGCTGGGCAGAGTGAATATCAAAGGATTCACGAGTATTCAGTGTATGTATGTATGGTTTTTTCCCAGTTTTGACTTGACAATTTCCATGTAGAAAAAGACATGGTTTTGGTGGAGGAAGGTACGACATCTCACAGGCTTAAAATGAAGTGTTTGCATAGGTGAGCACAACAGATTGCTGAATTACTATTCCTTAAATGACCAGGAAATATTTGTTCTGTCTAATTACATTAAGATATCAAATGAGCAGTTAGTCAATGTAAGGGAGACTGGCAGAGCGGAACAGGGAGAAGCTGGTAAACAAGCAGCTGTTCTCTTACTGGGCTCTTGGTGTTACTGGAGGTTACAAATTGCCAGTGAAAAATCTGATATGGGACCTACCAACTGCAGCACAACCACCTGGAGACTGAGTGCTTCAGAGAGCCAGCTGCTCTGCTGGTGCAGTCATTAAACACCCTTTTAAAATGCAAATTTAGGGTGTAATAGTGCTTGGTATCTGGCTGAAGTTATATGGGGAAATTATAACCCTGGACTCCACTGATGCAAGGTAGGACATGGAGTTAAGGGTCTGTTGTGGTAACTACAGAGCCATTTCTCAGCATAGACGTGTTTTTTTCAGAAACATCACCTTTCTGGGTTTTGTGTGTTGCTTTGGAAGGGTTCTAAACAAGATACAGTTGTCTATGATAATAAAGTAGCTGAGAAACTAGTCTTCACTGCCAGTGATGACTGATCCTCTGGCTTTGCTTGTGAGAACACCCCTGGTTCAAGAAAATGATCACAAAAAGACCTGGTTCTGGACCAGGTGAGCCCTTCTGCCCTGGCTGGGGGACTTGACGATTCCCCGCAGCCCTGGGTGCAGCTGGTGCAGGCTGTGGTCGCATGGCCTCAGCGCAAAGGCAGGGAAGCTGGTCCTGCTCCTGCATCTGAATGCCTCAGATCTTAAAAAGTCTCCTATCCAAATCTAGCCAGTAGGTATGGAGAAGCCAGGGTGATGGGCACAAACAGCCTCTGTGCTGCAGCAGCAGCCTGGCTCCGTAGCGTTACAGCAGCCTGGCCAGCATGCTGTCTTAAGAGATGGTGCCAGCAGAGGAGAATGCAGTGAATCCCAAGGCATGTAACAAACCATGCCTGTTAAATGCCCAGCGGTGGTTTTATTTCTGTAACGTGGGAGGTATGCTGGGAGGCTGAATCCAGCTTCATTTTCTACTGCGGTTATTATACACAGACTGGTCAACCTTTAGGCTGCAAGAGAGGATGCTGGCTTGCTGTTAGTTCCTTAGTTTGCAGCCAGCCACGTGGTAGATTAATTATATATTGGTGTATCTCCTGCTAAGGTGTTTGGAAGGAAGAAGAGAGAGAGGGAGGGAGAAGCCACGCTCCTCTGTGCAGAGCAAATGCTGGAGCTGCTCTCTCAGCTTGACAGTGGATTGTAGTTTAAAAAAGTGGATTTTTAAAAGTGTATTGATCATGAAGTTAGACCTAACAACTTCTTCCATAGAATCTGGCTTGCTGCTTCTAGTTGTTACGTGGAAACCCAGGGGACTTGTTACGTGGACTAGCCAGATTGTATTAGGAATGCAGGTGAATAACCTATTAAACACCTCTTCTGTCACTCAAAACCAGTTGTTGGCTCATGGGTTTTTGTTCTGTTTTGCCTTCAGACAGCCATGATGCCGTCTTGCGCTTCAATGGGGCTCCTGTCAAGGGGTTTCAAGAAGATGTGGGGCAAAAGACCACAATTCGTCTTGTGAACTCCCAGGTAGGTCTGACAAACGTGTGCCCAACAGGCCAAGCGTGGCAGAGCTGCATCCCTCCCCTGTGCTGCCTGGGAGCTGAGCTGCAGCCTGAAATAACGTCCACAGGGCTTTGGGGTTCATCTGCTGCTGGGAGGTCTTGAAAATGAAACTGGGGAGAACAAGGCTTTCCATCAGATTTCTCCTGTGGCTAGCAGATAACCGTAGGATGGGAATGTCCTTCCTTGTAACGAGGGACTTGGTAAATCTGAGGTTAGTACAGTTAAACTAGCACATGCTAGGGAACCTGCAGTAGCCTGCTTGCGATTTACGGCAGGCACACGGTGATTTGATTTTTGGCTTGGCTCAAAGTCTCTTTGTTAGTGCAGGAAGACCAGCCACATGCTTGCTGCTGCACTTTGGGAGCGTGAAGCAGGAACGGCACTGGAGCTCAGCTAGCGCTGCCCAGCAAACCGAGGTGTGCCAAGAGGCAAGTTCTGCCTGCCCCAGAGATAGGTGTGAAGAACAAGGGAAGTTTGTTTGGCTTTTAATAAAAGAACAATACTTCTTTTCTGCCCAGTGGTGTAGATAATGCATTAAGCTGGGCTGTTAAATGGCTGAAGACAATTGGCAAAGGACACACCTTTAAAGTGGTAGCCTGCACACAGCCAGGAGAGGGTGGACTCTGGTAGGTGAGTTGGAGGGTCCAGGACCTCATTGCAGAGCATGGCAGAAAGTACCTTTAATGCAAGGGATTGCTTACTGAGTTAAATGTTCCCTGACTCTTTGAGAGCTCTTTCTAGGTATGAAGCTGATTTTCTTTGAACTTCAGTGGGCTTTGAAGCAGACCCTCAGTGGTTAGGACCATGTCTAGCAATGTGTTAGGAGGGTTAGTATGCCACCCATTCAGGAGCAGAGTGGGACCCACAACAGACTGTTGCTGCTCTAGGTACAGCTCAGAGAGTGTTTGCACTCTACTTCCTTATAGCTGTTACTCATCATGTTTGCCCATTTTGGGGGAAGAAATTTTCAAGTGTAGACATGCAGAGAGAAGAGGAAATCGGAGTAGTGTGTGCTGGTGAGGAAATGGAGTGGGACAGTAAAATACCGAATAGGCCAAGAGTCATTGAATGAAAGACCTGGTGCAGCACTGCAGCGCAGAGTAGGAGCACTTCTTCACCCTGGAAGAGGAGGAGGAGAAGGCTGTAAGAACATGAAGACTGAGGGAGTGAGCAAGGAGAGAGATCGGGGACTGAAGTGTAGCTTTTGTACTCCAGAACTGAAAAGGCAGTTTCCTTTCATCACCCCAAAGCCAATATTTATAGATCTGGAGTTTTCTCATCTGCGCCTCTGGGAGAAGTTGATGGGTGCTGCTATCTAACAAGGTTTGAAGTTTCTCAAAGCAGCAGCAGGAGCTTGGCCATTCTCTTCAAAGGCAAGGTGTGGAGTTAGCTTGTAACCAGATTTCCTAGTTGATTTTGCGTGTGTTTTGAAGTATGTTCTTGCCTCTTGTGTGAATGTGGTTGCTTCCTCTTTCTGCCCTTGGGTCTCTCGTTCTCCCTTTGCTACTGTGCTCTGTTCTGCTGCTTGCTGCATCTCGGTTCCCCTGTGTTAAACCACCAGTCAAATGTGGGACAGTTTGTCCTTTCTGAACCAATCTGATTTCAGTGGACATATCTGAATGCTGACATCCTCCTTCCTCTGCCCTGTTTGACCTCTCCATTTTTTTGTGTTTCCCTTCTGAGTATATTTTCTATTATGTCAGATAGGTGTTATCGCTTAAGAAAACCTTCTCTGGAGGATGTGCTCATTGCCAAACTTAGTGTGACGTGAAGTAATTTATCAGCAAAACCATGTACGTGATCTGTGTGATACCAGGGTTATCTGCATGGGGAGGAGGGTAACAGTGTGATTGTACAGCTGTGCTACAGCACTAATAACTCTCCATGTGGATGCTCTTCTTTTGGCCTAAGTGTAGTTACAGCCATGGTGTTCTAGTGCGTCTGTTCTCCATGCAGCTGCGCCTGCAGCCATGGGTGACACTTTTCATCTGCCACAATCCCCTCTGAATGGAGGTGCCAGCTTAGAGAATTTCCATTACAGCGAGAGCAAAATTGTTGCAGTTTTTGAGACTGAAGTTAACTCAAAATGCAGTGTGGATCTAGCTGCTAAACAGGGCAAAAGATGCTCTCCGAATGAATAGTGTAGGAGTCTCTCTCTTCAGAGTTTCTAAGCCAAACAGCTCTAATGGCAGTCCCTGTTATCTTCAGGGATCACTGGATTGGGAGCCTGTTTTTCTTCTGTATTTTTACTTGCACTGTTCTAGTCATGGTGATGTAATTTTAACCTTCTTGTTAGTGAGTTTGCCTGACTGCATTTTGCTTTCAGCTGCTTGCAGGCATCAGATATTAGCTGGACAAGCTGTAATTTTTTCTTGTTCTGGGTTTGGCTTTTCTTATGTTGTAAGTGGTCGCTGGGAACAGGGATGGGATTGTGGCTTGGCCTCTTTTATTTTGGCTCTTGTTATTGATCAATCTTCAGTCTATTCCCAAAATTAAGGAAATAGGGTCTCCTGCATCTGATCTGTCAGAACTAGTCTGTATTGAATAGTATCCCTTTGACATGTGTGGCCAGTGGCCCTGAGTTGCTTAATAACTATTTGAAGATCATAGAATCATAGAATGTTTAGGGTTGGAAGGGACCTTAAAGATCATCTAGTTCCAACCCCCCAAGTGGAAGGTGTCCCTGCTGAAGGCAGGGGGGTTGGAAGTAGATGATCTTTAAGGTCCCTTCCAACCCAAACCATTCTATGATTCTATAATAGAGGGTTCTAGCTTCTTTTGAGGGTAGGCCAGTAGACATTACACTGTGCTACAATCAACTCATCCACTCAATCCTGACCTTCATCTTTATAGGTGAGACTAGTGGGAGCAAAATGTTACCATATAGCCAATGCTGGGAACTTTCAGAACCATTATTTCTGAAAAGAAATGAATATTCAAAGGCCCCTTTGACATAATGAAGGTTAAATTCTATATAGAGTTTTGCAGGCCTGTGTGAGTGCTGTCTGACTGGGCTCTAAGATAGCCTGAGTTCAGCCTGTCTGAGGGCTGTATGGCCACAGTTAGTGCAGGGCTGATCCCACGTTTAAAATGGTGAGAAATGGAGTATTACATTGCATCTTGCAAATGTAGCTACACGAGGTGGGCAGAACAAGAAGGTCTGCCAGAAAGGAAATATTATGAAGACATATACACATAGAGAGAAGTCACTTGCCTGCAAATTATTTCACAACTGACTCTGAGAAACACTTCAGGTATTGCCAGCTAATACTTACAAATTGCCAGCTCGTACCATCTATGGACCTGTCATTTTTTGCCAGGAAAATACTTCAGTTCAGTTAGTGAACAGTGTTTGCAGCTGTGCCTGCTAAGGAGAGAAGGAAGACACCATTTTTTTTCCGGGCACAAACTGCCAGTAAAAACTTGATTTTTAGGAGGAAATTAAAACAAACAAACAAAAAAACCAAAACCACAAACAAATTGTTGGCTGGCAACAAAGAGTAGAGTAGTAACATGGTACCACTTCAGAAAAATATTATTATTCTTGTGCAAATGAGACTTAGCAAGTTATGGACAGCATATTTGAGTTGTTTTCACCTGAGTTTAATTCACAATGGCTATTTGTAAGTATAGTGGCCTTCCATACCTAGGCTGCTGTTCAACGGCCGTGAGCAAGCATTGTAAGAAACCTTTGTTTCAGAAACTGAGGACCACTTCTAACATCTTGTATTGATTTAAATTATGAAGATGTTTTTCTGTAATTTGCTGAGCAGTCTCTAGCACATGTCTGAGGGTGAGTGGTTTTAACAGTAGAGTGGGGTATCTTGTATGTCTGTGTGCATA